CTTGGACAGGGAAGCGTTTATTGGTTAACAGTTATTCACAGAGACAGAAACGACACCGTACAACAGTCAATCCTGGTGAATCACGAGCAGACAAACACACCGGCGCTCAGGTACAATCCACCGCTTTCAACATGTGTTGTAAAATAAATTAGCATGAGCACACTCCGTCTGAGCCAAATGACACGTTTAACAGCAAACTCAGTGCAAACGCCGCCGTAGCTGAGGACCCGTGACGTGTGAGTACCGATTCCACAATGTACTGTGAATTTCAACCAATCAGGGTTCATCTGGAGTTTGGTGGGTTTAACACAAGAGACTAGAAATTAGTCCAACTCTATGAGCCATCTTCTACAAACACATTCTTATTGTTAGCTCTGTTTACAGTACTAAACATCTATTTGTCAAGCAGCAACGGGTTAAAACACAGCATCCACTCTTATCTAAACACGGGAGAAAAGCCTGACAGCAAGAAAACTCGGGGAAAGGTTCCTGCTGCTTCAGGCACACAGAAAGAGACGCATACAAATCTAAACTCCACACAGATTCAAAGTTTATCAGGACTTAGCAGAAGCGGGTGTAGGCTCTGGACAGGAACAACACCTCGGCCTGTTGTCTTTAGCACTTTAGTTGTGATTCATGAACAATAACTTAACCCCTTTCTCTCACCCCCACACCAGACTAATTCAGTCAGTCCATTACAAAGGACACCCCCATCCACCGCTCAGTTGGTTCAGTCCACAGCTAGCTGCTAACTGCTAATTCAGTGATGGAAACGACGCACAAGAATGAATAAAGTTTGTTCATTAGAAGGTTTATCTTGGAACTCTGGAGTGTCTTCCTGTGTAAAAGTCATGACTAAATAAATGCCGCCTAAAAGGGACAACGTGTAGTTCCTGGAAGTTTCCGTTAAAATGTTGTTGAAAATGAATGGAATGATGCCCAGTTGGTTGTGTAACGTAAAACCATAAAAATCAGGTCAAAAACATACGGGAGCGGGTCCAAGTCTCTGGGCGACGCCATGTTGGACGCCATGTTTCCTTCTACGGGAGCCCATGAGGACAGGATGCATTTACTGATTTGTAACGGTTACAAAACTCCGCTGTTCTTAAACGTCTTCACACATTTACCTCCACTGGTGGCCAGTGATGAACGGGAGTCTGATGTGCTCGTTATTTTACGCCCAGGGCTTTCTGACCCTATTGGGCATCCATTGGTAAGGTCTTACACCAACACAAAGTACTGCTTGCTATGGTATGTACTGCCCCCTATTGCCAGGAATAATACACACTGTCACTTTAACCCTCGTCTTACAGGACTGACAAGCTAACCAGCAGTCTGAGAGTGGCTTACTGCTCCGGCCTCCGACTTCCCTCCTCACATCATACAAACATAGTTGTTTAAACCTTTAAATGGTGGACTCAGACTAGCCGCTAGCTCCTCAGCCCGAGAGGCCGTTCAGACAGCGGTCTGCCACAGGTAAGATGTCTCTAGCGCAGAAACACGCCGCAGAATAACCAGCTGTGGTGTTCGGCTGCTCGGGAGCGCTCCACATCCCCAGATTCATGGATTTACATCCCTGATTGCTGCCACTGGCAAACATCGGCCGGGAGCGGATTTGGGGTGAAAACACATTTCCAGTGGCGTAAGAGTGACATTTTAAACATTCCTGTGTAGTTTAGATGTTTAAAGGTCCGCTTTGGCTGAGTTTAGTAAGAAAAACAGACGCTTGGTCTGGGCTCACCTACAAGTCTGGTTAGATTCATATCCTCTGTTTGATCAGGAGCCGTGAAGCAGAGACAACACTGATCTGGGACTAGATCAGCGACTCGAGGATCAGTGATGTTGATGTGAAGTGGTTAAGGAAGAGCAGGAACAGCTGAGGGTTAGAACGGAGAGTCTTTACCTACAACACGACCGCATCGGCCAGCTGTTCAAACAACAACACCTCCCCGGTTATGTGTCCAGCTGCTGTGACGAGGCGGCTCAGCGCCCCGGAGTAGTGCTGCGAGACCGACTCTTCATCAGGAAGGAGGCAGAAAAGAGTTGATCTCAGAAGTGTGTGTGTGTGTGTGTGTGTGTGTGTGTGATGTTCTAGAAAAGCTGGGATGTCCTGAAGACTCTGACTAAAGATGTCATCACCTTCTACTACAGTAGGGATGTAAGAAAATATCGATATGGCAATATATCGTGATATTTTTTCTTGCGATTATTACATCGATTTTCAAAAGTCGTGTATCTAATTCCTGAAAGAATTTACATGCAAACTTTTGTGTATTTTCTTTTCGTTTTGCGCGATTCAATCGCCACCCGCTAGTTGGCAGCAGTGTGCAGCGGGTTTTGTTTCCACCACTGAAATGTAAATCCCTCCATCAAGGTTCAGATACCTCATGTTAAACATGTTACGTATCAGTTTGGACTGTTTATTGAACATTCTGACAATAAATTCAGTAAAAAGAATTGCTTGTAACGTCTGACTGAATGTATCGCAATATATCGTGAT